ACAATATATATAGAGAGACTGGGCGCCTTTATTGAGCTGCCAGATGCCAGTCCATCGAATCCCGACGATGAATACTCCAGCGATGATGGTAGCATGTCGGCTTCGGATTACGAACGTACGGGCGAAGTCTACTGGTGATACGAATTGTGGAGAACTCCAGAATTCCATCGAAAAGGCTCTCGGGCAAGCTATTACAGATGAAGCAACAATCAAATACCAATCATTCCCTCCGTGTTGTGAGAAGGCGCATGTTGTCGTCATAGTCACACGTAGTTCACGCTAAATTAGCGTCTGTTGCGTGACGCGTCCAGGGGTACCAACCTTCTATCTACTCACCCAGCCTCCCAATTATCATTACCGTTGATTGCATCGTAGAACACTCCATACATCTATCGAGAAACACATAGATCACCATTAGTGTGCATAATTTGATAGAGGTACTCCTGCTTGCTTGGAACAAGTACGTAGCGCCAACCTCGCACTCAAACGAGTAAGCCCTTTCATAGATCATGCGCGCATTCGTCTATTAGACTACAGACTATTTACATGAACAGCTTGCGCTTCGCATCAGCCACGGCTCTTGATGATGCTCGCAGCCTTCTCGCCGACAGCGTACATGGTCGACTGGATGTGCTGGGAGGGAATAAGAGGGAGGATGGAAGCATCGACAATGGACAGTTTCTCGATGCCATAGAAGAGAAGCTCATCGGACACACAACCACCCATATCCTCAGGTAACATGGCGCAGCTGCCGGAAGGATGCGAAAGTGTCGGCCAAACGCTTCCCTGCTCAATCATCTTGTTGATGATCTCATCATCGGTCGTGTACTGGGCTCCCGGCGTCGTCTCGACTGGGGTGTACTTCGCCAATTCAGGGCCCGCCCAAACCTTACGGATATAGCGGACGCACGCAGCAAGAACAGCTTTGTCGATGGGGTTGCTGAGTGCATTGTAGAAGATCTGTGGTGGTCCTTGAGGGTTGGTTGCGTTGATCATGATGGTTCCTCGAGAAACCGGCTTCTCCAAGCCGACGAGCATGTAGCCACCTGAGGACGGGACAGGGTACTCTACTACAGCGGCCTTTTCGTTTTGGAAGATGTCGGCGAGAACTTTGCGCTGTGCTGCGACACCCTTAAGCAGCTTCGCATTGTTCTTGTAGATCGATGGCAAATGTGCGTCATTCTCCTGGGCAAGCACCCGTTCCGCAATACTGTCGTAGTTATCGGGATCCACTACCGGAAGTGGCATCATGGCTAGACTGTTGCCACGAGCCTGAGTCAGCGGTCCGGTCTTGTTGGCACGGTACTCTTCCCACGCCGAAGCATTATACGCCGGGTCTGTGGTCAAGGAAAACCCGTTCGGGGTGCTGCCACCGGTGACATTCCACCCAACGCCAGTATACGGATGGTCTTGGAAATTCGAACCCACGCCGTCATTTTCGAGCTTTACGGTGATACCAGCAGCCTCGAGTGCGGCTTTTGGTCCGATGCCGCTGTTCTGGAGAAGCTTTGGTGTGTTTACGGCACCCTGGAAGCGAAAATGTCAAGTCAGTATTTGCGCAACTCTGCAGGCAGCTTGACGTTCTACTTACCGCAGCTAAGATGACCTCTTGCTTCGCATAGTAGGTCTTTGTCGAGCCAGTCTTCTTGTCGGTGATCTTTACGCCCTTCGCCGTAAGGGTTTTATTTCCGTCGAACACGAGTTCAGTCGCGAGAGACTCCAGTATGACCTTCAAGTTCGACCGGCTCATGATCGGATCATAGTACGAGTTACGGGCGTGCGTTCTTTCGCCAGTCCTGGGGTTCATGGTATTGGGGTACCATGAGGTACCATATGCCTCGCCGTTGTTTCCATCGCGGGCGGCATGCGCATTACCGGTGCCTTGGAAGGCGTCGAAAAAGTCAGTGATATCGGAGTATACTGTGTCTGTGACGCCGATCTTCAGTGGACCTTTTCCGTAGCTGGAAGTTACCAACGTTAAAAGTTGCTCACACGGGCAATATTTCGCTGACTTACGCCTCGGGGTCCCAAGTAATACCGACTTGATCAATAGTCTCCTGTGGAGCTGGGATGTACTCTGTTCCCATTTTGAAAAACGGATAGATCCCCTCCCATCCCCAACCCTTGTTGCCCAACGCCTCCCAGGCATCGTAGTCTGCCGCTGATCCGCGATCATATATCATTCCGTTGACGAGAGACCCGCCTCCGAGAATCCGCGCGACACGAGTGTTCCATGTCTTATTCCCGAGGAATGGTTCTGGCTGGCACACATAGTCTGTCCACAGAAGAGAGGTATTGAGGGCATATGTGGCGCCATAAGGCATGCGGATGTTTGGGTTGTCGTCTGCTCTTCCAGCTTCAATGACAAGTACGGATTCTGTACGACCATCATGTCAGCTTTGTGTAACTCTAGATTGGTTGGTCAGTCTCACTATTCTTGTCCTCGGTCAGACGATTGGCCACGACGAGACCGGTCACACCCCCTCCAACAATAACATAGTCGTAAGTTTCCTGGGCGGCTGACAGCCCCAGCAAAGCAACGACGGCTAAGTTCCTAGGGTAAAGCATCCTGGCGAGCTGCTTCGAGGCGATACCACAAGAAGAGATTCACTTTGACGAGGGTGAAATACGCCGGGAGAGGAAGAAGGGGAGCTCTTGAGCTCTTAAACTCTCCACAAAGCCCCATATTAGCTCTTAGCATTTTTGCGGTACCTGAGCGTGCATGAGTTGTATGGATACACGAGTCGGTACACCGTTGTGGCTAAGGTCGGCAACAAAGCTCCGATACAGTTAGCAGTGAGCAGTAGATCTGGCCAACGGGTCCTGAATTCAAGCGGCATATCAGGTCCTTGCAATTGCATGGCGCAAGATTGAAGATTGATAGAAACAGCATGGCCCCGAGATTAGGCGATCTTGGCTAGACGGCTCGGCATTGTCCCGCATTCAGGAAGTCACCCCACCCACACCAACGCCGCTCCCCTGCCTAACTCTGATTCTTTGATACTGGAGGACACCTTTGAGCGCAGACGATCCTAGTAAGTTTTGCTGACCGCTATAGGTTCTCGTTTGCCTTTTCAGGCTCTTAATGTGTGAGATTGATCTTGTTGCAACGTTTTTACACTTTTGCCGACTTCTGAGCAGCGTTGGGGTGTTCAAGTTGGAGGCAGCATTGTGGCGACTCACAATATACCGGTAGCAGGAGCAGGGTCGTGGTTTACACATATTGCGGCGCCGCTGCTGCCAAGTCGCAAGGGTCCACTATTGTGCACCGTCGGCTCTACAAGCTTCTCTCACCCATTACGCCCCGTGGCAACTCTATATGAGGGGTCTTTGACATGTCCTTCATCAAATTCCAACAGCTGTCAGCACGCAAGTTTATCCGGCTGGTTGATGCAGGTCACGAATCCGCTTTCGCCTGTTGGGCAGTCAGCATCGCTGCGGGATGGGACGGGACGGCGGGACCTTAATTGGCTCACCAGCCGACGCCCCGAACCTCGCTTGCACGCTTGCGAAGTCTACGATGTCTGGGCATGCAACGAACGACAAGGGCTGCGTTCTGGTCCTGGAGCACATGACAAGTATATTGGTTGGCCGAAGCATGCCAAGGTGGCGTAAAACCACGCTTCAAGGCACAAACATGAAGAGAAGAAACACGTACAGCGCCATACAGCACACAAAAGGCGTATTTGCATCACTGCAGCCTCGCGAAACCGCCTTTGCGAACGGATCTTTCTAGCCCTTGGAGCTATCATACCGATCTTTTAGCCTTCCAGCTTTCGCTTACACCCGATGGAGTGATGAAGCCCAAGAGATGACAGCCACACGGGCACGGTTCATACCCAGCTCTGTGGCTCTTAGCATGCATAGCTATCACATTTATTTGCAATGTGCGCCTCGAAGGATTTCAAGATGCCAGACCAATCCATACGTCCCAACACGATCGTATCCAGACTCATTTATTGTTGGGTTGGCATAGTCAGCATTAAGACTGAAGGTTGAATGGTTGGCCAGCAGCAAGCAACTGACTTCAAGTATGCTGCGGCTTACTATATCTTGGAGTGCATGCTGATACCATCATGTCTGTTTTGTGTAGAGGTCTCATGCCCATCATCACAACCTCAAGCTCGATCCTCTTGCATAGATGACGAGAGGGAATTAGTGATGCAGCACAAGTGCATGAATAGTATAGTCCTTACGACATCTTGGCACGAGACTGAAGACTGCGTAGAAGCTGGAAGCGGAGAGCGTAGTAGATGCTAGGGTTCCCTGCTACTGATGGCAGATGAAACGCCATCCTCGCGTGAGCTATTCCGAAGAGATCCCCAGCCGATAAGATGAACGGGGCGTTCCAGCGGCCCTCCCGAGATCCTGGGGTACCCAATAGGTTCAGATGGGCGAACGGCTGGAATAAAGAGTGCCATCTTGCGCACGTTGCCAACTGATATCGCTTCTCCCTCTCTTCGGGTTCGCACTGCCTCTACGCAATATCGGCATCTGCAATGGCACCAACCGAGCAGCAGGAATGGCCAAACCGCGCGCCCGTCTTCTTAATTCCTTCGACTATATTGTGCATATTGAGTACTGCGGTACTCGTATGGCGACTTGTGTATAGTATTGGGGCTAAGCGAAAGCTTGTACTTTACGATTACCTTCTCATCATCGCAGCAGTTCGTCAGTCCAGTAGCTTTATCAGGAGGGCAAGATTATGCTAACCAGTCTGGGTCCAGATGCTAAACGTCGCAGCGTCGGGAATCCGCTTTAAAACATGTCAGCATGGTCTGGGTCGTCATATTCGGGATCCTAGCATCGTGATGCCCTACGACATGCTGAACTACATGTACTACCTCTGGATCACACAGATCCTAAACCTTATTGCAGTCGCAACGCTAAAGTACTCGATTTGTGGCTACCTTTTAGCCCTTAAATTCTCAAGAGTGTACCTCGCGGTGGTGTGGGCTTCGATCCTAATGGTCACTACGTTCAATCTAATTTTGCCCATCATGGGCTGCTTTTGCAGTACACCGTTCGAGGCAAATTGGAACAAAACCGTGAAAGGGAAGTGCTTCATAAAGACCAGCTCGCCCCTCACGTACAGTCAGGTCCGTCCTCTAGATTTGCTTTGTTGCACATAACTAGCTGATGACGGAACAGGGAGTTGCCAACTGTGTCACTGATGTGATTTACGTTGTTGCCCCCATCATATACCTGTCCACCATCCAGTTACCAAGGCGCACTCAATGGGGTTTGCGCATCGTCTTCTGTCTTGGCCTTATGTAAGTACCCTCCGGGATTTGCATTGACATCAACTGAGCTAGCCATCAGTGCGACCGCTTGTTCAGTTGCAAAGACCGTTGAGCTTTCCGCATTGATGAAGACAGCCGATCCAACATGGGACGGTGTCAACCTCGCCATCTGGTCCGCATCGGAACTCTCGGTCGGTATACTTGTCGCGTCTCTACCCGCACTCCGAAAGCAATTCGACAGCTTCTTCCGCCGCATTCTCTCGTCGACCTTTCTGGGAATGGGATCCAAGACGGGGTCTGATAGCAACGGAATACCACTGTATAACGTCGGACCACCCCTTACCGTTGGCAGCCGACCAACGAGAGGCCGTTCGCTATTCCAAAGAGACGGTCTCGATGATGGAGATAGTGAGAAGTGCATACTGGACGATTCAGAGCTGCCTGGAAAGCGCGAAATAACGAGAACGATCGTACATGAGATACGTAGTGAGGACAGGAGCAACGCACAGGTCCAAGATCGGGTACACAACATGTACGGCCAGCTTCAGTGAGCCTCCTAGGCTTAGCTGTCTCTTCGTAGCGTTTCAAGAGTATCCATTGTTCAGTAATCGGGAAATTGTCACTAATGCGCGTCGGTCTCCGTGGCAGTATTGCGATAGTTTGAGTAACCTCGCGAAGGAGTAAGACTATGGCCGAGATTCTACAGGCAGGTCCAGGTGGATGTTACGCTGTAGTGCGGACGATCTTCACGTCGCGCAGTGCAGCACACGATTGAAGGAGATGTTGATATCCGTGACGTCATCCACGGCGACCTCGGGGTCCCGACCGTCGTGTTCTCGACCATATCGGACAGCGAGGAGGTGCGAGGATAGTGGTTGAACAGACCCTTGTGGGTGTTAAGATATGCACGTAGCGACATAAGTGGTAGCGCAGCCTTGTTCCGAACAGCATTGGTATACCGAGAAACCGAGAGGCCGTTAGCGCGTGCCGCGGAAGCCGAGAAGGCAACCAGCGATTTCTTTTGGCGAACATTAGATAAAGCAACTCGATATCGCATACAGAGACGGAACAATACCTTCAATACATTCACATCAACTCAGAGTACTCCGGCCATATTCCACAATTTACCATGACTTCTCCCGTTCTCGTTTTCGGCCCGACTGGAGCAGTAGGCAGCGCCGCTGCCACTGAAGCACACAGGCGTGGTGCCAAAGTGTACCTCGCCATGCGCGACACGAAGAAGCCATTGAAAGGCATCCAGGAAGCGGGAAACAGTGACAGCTTTGTCCGCGTCCAAGCTGATCTGGCCAAGCCCGAGACCATCAAGGCCGCGGTCAAGACCTCTGGTGCCAAGACAGCCTTCGTATACGTCGTACATGAGGTCGAAGACGGCATGCGAAGCAGTTTCGAAGCGCTCAAGGAGGCCGGTGTAACCTACATTGTCCTCTTGTCTTCTTTCAAGGTCGAAGATCCTCTGGACTCAGAAGCCAACAAGACGGATATGATTGGCGCTCTCCACTCCGCAGCTGAAAGCGCATTGCGAGAGACTGGCGTCTCATACACCGCCGTCCGACCCGCATACTTCAGTAGCAACGTTTTCTGGTACACCACAGACATCAAGCAGGGCGAGGTCGAGATCCTCTACCCCAACGTGCGGTTCGATTACCTCGCTCCGTCAGATATCGGCACTGTGTGCGGCACACTTCTCGCAGAGCCACGATTCCAGAAAGAAGCGGGGCAGTCGATCTATCTGTGTGGCCCTGAACTTCTGACCCAGCGTGAGGGTATGGCTGTGATTGGCAAAGCATTGGGGAAGGAGATCAAAGTCAAGGAGATTGACGAGGAGAGGTGGTTCAAGAAGCTGGCGCACATGCCTAAACCTATACTCGACACACTGGTGCGGGGAATGCGGGAGAGTGACGCCGGGAAGGATGATTATGGCAAAATCTACAAGGACGCCGTGGAGAACGTGAAAAAGTACACGGAGCGGGAGCCGACGAAGCTGGAGGACTGGGTCAAACAGAACAAGGCCGCATTCGCTTAGACTGAAGCTTACCACTAGTCGAGATAGTAACGAGACCCGAACAATCACAGCTGCGTCCTCTTCTGCATTGCGTGAGACCCTTGAACGAGACCAAAAGCAAAGTGATCCGCGCGAAGTGGACACTGTCAGATAGAGTTGGACACGTCAGTCCAAATATGGACATAGCGCCCGCACGCGCGTGATCCCTGCATGACGAAGACAGCCGCCGATCATCTGAAACCCAGCAAGTTTCCGTGGTCACGACCACGACCCAAACCCCACAATCTCCCTTTATTCTTCAAACCACGCACGACTGCCACCGGTGATAACGAAGCATTACTACTACGAGCCCAAAACCCAGGACACCGGCGCAGTCATGGCAGCGAGCATCGAAGCATCGCCGCCAGCGCCTCCAGTGCCGTCGAAACACGCCCCAAACGAGGCGCATCCCCCGAGCTGTCCGTCATGTGGCAGTAGCATAGATATGGCCGAGCTGCAAGACGCGAGGCAGAGGATAGAGGAGCTCGAGGCGCAAATGGAGCGCCTGAAGGAGAAGGCTACAGCAGCTGGTACGCCCCCATTATGCGTCCGACGTCATATCACACCCGAGCCCACACGTACTAACATCGTCTAGTCGACAGATGCGCCGACTACGAAGACCAGATCCGCAGCCTCCAGGCGACACAGAACGCCCCTAAACTGCCCCGAACCCAAACCTCACAATCCGACATCCCCAACCCATCCTCACGCCCCTCCGTCGACGCCGATCCCCCACGTCCCACAACCGCAAACTCCACAAAGGCCTCCCGCTTCTCCTTCATCACAAGTCGCTTCCCGTCGCCGGCCAATACAGGGGGCATGCCTCCGCCTCCACCACCGAAAGACCCGTCCCACGCACCACCAGTCGGCTACACCCTACTCAACGAGCTCGAGCGCGAGCGTGCCCTACGCGCCAAGGCGGAAGCACGTGTTCAGACTGTAGATTCCGAGATTGAAGAACTGAGCGTGCAATTGTTTAGTCAAGCCAACGAAATGGTAGCGGAAGAGCGACGGGCAAGAGCTAAGCTGGAAGAAAGAGTCGAGACTTTAGAACGCAGGGACAGGGAGAAGATGGGCAGGCTGGATCGCTTGGAGAAGGCCGTGACAAGAGTGGAGAGAGTCAAGGCATTGTTGGGTGAGAAGGAAGATCTGAAGAGAGAGTCGGTTAGTAGCGGGTTGTTGTCACCACCGGCTAGGAGGTGATGAGATGTGCGGCATTGTTTCTTGTTGCTGTTCTTCCGTGTCATTTGTTACGATACCCATTTAGTTTTGATCTACTGCATCTTAGCGTAGCGTTTGGCGTGGTTGGCTTTACAGTGGGTGCATTTTTCGGTGTCGGCGGTCGGTATCGGTATCTAGAGGGGTGGATCATCCTGTAGGCAAAGCGAAAGACATAGCATGCATTAACTATACAACATTGTACTCTGCATTGGCCATACGACATTATACTCTGTAGGCTCTGTGTGATGAGATGGAAGCGGTTCTTACTTCGTGGCTGCCCGGGCAGAATACGACATCGTCATAAGCATTACATCACAACAGCATGAGAAGGTGGTAAGCCGACTCACCAAAGCTCCGGCATGCATCGACTCGACTCCTCGCAACAATAGACCCGGTTGTGTAAATGTTTAGATAGCGTCCTGGCCATTGGCCATCAGCGATGCTACTAATATCCCACAAAGAGCACAATACCTTCCCCCAGCGCAAAGGAAAGCCAGGCAACACCGTGAGCTAGCCAAAGCCGCTTACTCCTCTCGTTGCTCTTCCAGCCCAAGCGGCTTCCCACATACACCCACTCACACATTCACAAAATCAAACATGCGCACCGACGCCCCTTCCATCTTCTCCCATCCCGTGACACGCTTTTTACTACCCGGCCAAAAGCTCCGCAAGACTCATAGCACTGCCACCGCACCCATAGCATCCATGGTTTCTCAAAACAGTGTCCGTGCACTCTGCCCTATGCTTTCTAGAGCTTCACTGCGCATCCATGGTGCAGAGGAAAGCATTGCTACTTCTCGTCTGGTCTTGGTAACTTGGTCCTTAGGTCGTGTCATGTGCCTTTTGGTACTCAGCATTCGGGTGAATGGCTTCTGGAATTTCGCATATGCGTCTGTGTGACGGATGATGGCAGTCGATGTGGCGTATCTTGTCTAGGTTTTTGAGCGCTGAATGTAGCTTTGGGCATACTGAGAGCGCGACTTAAATGGACTGAACGGGATACGTGACTTTGTCGCGTTGTAATCGCTGAATAATGGTGTCGATTCGCCTCGAGTCCCGCGAAAGAGCAAGACTCAGTCGCTTAGATCCAGTGGCCGCTTTCGCACAAAGACATTTCAGTCGTCCCTGTGACCAAAATGTGTGGAAATATAGACATCCATACTGGTGTCGGGTTAGTTGGCCGCGAAAGATGACTCTGTAGTGACAATACCCTCACCTCTTCCAAGGTTACGTCTGATTTTGCTATCGGTGACCGTCCTCCCATAATCATAGCAGCGACTCAGCTGCTAGTGTTCATGTTCGTGACATGGTTCTGGTGCTCATATGTTGGTCGCTCCATAGTATCTCTTTCTTCCCATTAATAATATCTTGCTGAAGACTCACAACCGTTGTGGAGTCCTGCTGCGCCTTCGTTCTTATAAAACGCAGCGCATTCCTCTCTTCCCTTCTCTTTCTTTTCTTTAGCAGATATCCGACTCTTGACTCTACACATACCAAGTTAGATATCAAGATTGTCTTCGAACTTACCTTCAAGACATACAACACCATCACCACCTCTGCTACCAACACACTACTACTACCACTACTACTACCACCATCACCAACACAAAAGTAAAGTCAAGTACTTTACCTTCCACCTTCAAGTGAGCTACAACTAGGAACTCATAAACCCAAAACAATCCTAACAGCAATTCAGCATGCCCGGCTACTGGGACAAGAACAAGTGCGCAAGCGCCGAGGACAGGGCGGCTGCCATAGCAGACATGGAGAGGGCCAATCAGAAGGCCGAAGCCCAATTCCAGTCCCGCCAAGCCCCCTCCAGCCATGGCCTTGTTGGGTTTCACCGAAACGGGAACGGCGATATGGTCAAGGTCATCGTCAACAACATGGCGTGGACGGAAGAGTTAGTTCCTGCCGAGAAGCAGGATTTGGCGTTTGGCCACGTTTGGCTGCCCGTTTGGCCGAAAGGGAACGCAGGGCCCTACAACCACTGGTCTGAATATGGCCAGAATCAGTCCGAGTTCATCCCGGTCATGGATGCGGATATTGGCTTCAACGAGGTCAATATAGGTTTGACTGAAGAGATGAGATTCCTCCAGCTTAAGGAGGTCAGACTTTCGGAGAATTCCTTCGGAAAGTTTTTCGAAGGCGTTGCGTCGCCTTCTCTCGATCCGGCTCGAGAGTACTTCACGATGGCCTCGGATGGTAGTGTCCAGGCACATCCTGCCCCTCTTCCCGCCCCTCAAGAGCAGCCCGGCAACCCCGCTG